TTAGGGGTTTAGGGTTTAAGGGTTCGGGTTTAGGGTCTATTATATGTAAGGGTTTCATACAAGAGTCTGTAGGGCTCTATAGGTCTAGGGTGTTGTATTTCAGACCAGGGGCTTGGGGCTTGAGGTATTGGGTTTATGTCTAGAAGTTCATGCTTCAGGATCGGACACTCCAGGTTCCGGTTTGAGAGTTTGTGGATCTTGAAGGAGATTTCTAGCCGGAGTTCATCAAGAGAGCAGACGATCCGAACTCAGAAGTACCTCCTATGTTGCGATACCAAGCTTGAGGAGGTGGGCTATTGCAAATCGAAGCCAGCCCTCCCCAAGCCTCCAACCCGAGTTGAAACCCACATCAGAAGGTGTGCGGTTCAGGGTCTCACTGTGTAGGGCCTTATTAAGTAGAATAGGGTTTGGGGCCAATATTGTACAATTTTTATCATAAGGAACCCCGAAAGTAGTATTGGTAGTTACTTAGGCCCCTATATTAAAACCCTAAACCCTAAACCCTAAACCTTAACTGTAGGGTTCCGGGTTTTGAATTTGATTGAATGCGCTGCACCAAGCAGAGTTGCGTCGAGGGTTGTCGGGCTTAGGTTCGGGGCTTCGGGCTACAGGGGGTGTTTAGGGGGCTTTAGGGTCTGGCGCTTAGGGATTTAATTTTTAGGGTTTAGGGTTTAGGCTTTAGGGATTTGGGTTTAGGGCTTTAGGGATTTGGGTTTAAGGTTTAGGGATTTAGGGTTTAGGGCTTAGGGTTTAGGGCTTAGGGCTATGAGTTTCGGCTTCGGGGTTGGCGGCCCTACTTTTGTGAGAGGATGTCAGATGCGTGACTTGGGCGGTTCCACAGAGATGTAGGCGAGGCACAGCATCCGGTGGGCTTAGGGTTCAGGATTTTGCAGTATTGGGATTCCCGATGCTGCAAAACCCCGAATCCCTAATCCCTTAACCCCCCCAGATTTTAGGGTTCAAGGTGCTATCAGACAGCAAAATCCTGAACTCTAAACCCTAAACCCCTAGATTTCCGGGGGGCTCGAGGTGCTAGGGTCGAGGGTGGAATCCTGAACCCAGAGACCCCAATACTGATACCCCTCAGCTACGGAAAGGGGCCACAAATTGCAAAGGGCTTCCTGGTCTGTTCAAGGCATATTCCTAAACTCACCCTAAACCCTAAACCCTAAACCCTAAACCCTAAACCCTAAACCCCTAAACCCACCAAGGACACTTGTCAGAACCTCAAGCTCCCAGATCGCAGCCCGGGCACGAAATCTGTCGATCTTCGGTTGCAGACACCACCTCCATGCTTGGAGGTTCATGGGTAGTTATAAGTAGGGTTCTAAGTAAGGTAACTATAGTTATAACCTATATTAGGGGACTTTTAACTCCACTTATAACTACCCATGAACCTCCAAGTGGAGGGCGAAAGGCTTGCGATTTCAGCAATGAGGCCGACGTGTACAGCTACTTTGGCCACTCAAACCGGGTTCCCTGTTGGGGCTACATGAAAAAGATCATTTTTAAACCCTAAACCCTAAATCCTTATTGGGTCGATTGAAACAAACATGCAGACTTGTAGCCAACGAGGACCCAGAAACTCTCCAGGCACGGAACAGCTGCTTTCAGCTTCAAGGTTCAGGGAAGTTGGTTGAGGGGTTGAGTCTAGGGTTTAGGGTTTAGGGTTTAGGACTTAGGGTTTAGGGTTTAGGATTTAGGGTCTAGGGTTTAGCGTTTAGGGTTTTGGGTTTAGCGTTTAGGGTTTGGGGTTTCGGGTTCAGGAATAGGACATTCGTCCGTCACTGGACCACCCCAAAGTGAGCATCTGAGGCCCGAAGCACATCATCGTCATCACCACCGCACTTCTCAAAAGTCTAATCCCAGATGCCGTTCATAAATATAAAGACCTGAAGACACAAACTTAACCCCATAAAGCCCTCAAAGACGATAAAGCAACCATCCATAACTGTTAACTCCCAAAAAAACGTAATTGAGAACAAAACCCTCTAAAAAACCCTCTAATGTTTAGACAGTGATCATGGTCGAGCTCCGACTCCGACTTCTTCCCACCTCAGCACCATGGCCGCCGAGAGCCCCGCGCCCAGAGCCGCGGCGTGGCGGGGCTCGCGCAGCCACTCTGCAAACCTCGGGGGTCATCAGTCAGGTCCTGAAAGATCCTGGGTGGGGGTGGGATGGGTGGGGTGGGATAGGATGGGGGGGTATCGGGGGGGTAGGGGGTGGGGGGTGGGGGATTCCATGGGGTCCTAACGGTTTAGGGCTTAGGTTTTAGAGCTTTCGGTTTAGGGTTTAGGGTTTACAGGTGTTCCATGAAGATGTCATTTCGTTGTCGACAGGGCGATCGGAGTGATTCCAAACAGGTAAAGGGTTTAAGTTCAGGGATCCAGATAGTGGGATTGCGGGTTCCGGGGTAACTATCGATTCAGAGGCTTCAGTGGTGTTGCTGGGCGTCCCGGCGAAGCCAGGTTTGGGTTGCTGACAGAGAAACCCAAACCCAAGCCATACAGCATTTGGGCCCATTTTTCCCATCACCATCGTTGTCGTGAACTGCGTCGGCACCGTCATCATCACCAATGTCATCAACATCCTCAACCGTCGTCATGAGCAAAATCAGCATGAAAAGTCCGGCAAAAGTGGCATCCATGTCACCAATATCAACTTTTACATGTCAGTGAAACATGCTCGTGTATATGATCAAAACACGTGATAAACAAAAGCTCTACTTGCTGTCAAGATGCTGCATCAGTTGCATCATCCTGTTTTAGCTGCTTGCAGCCTCAGGAACCTGTTCTGCGAAAGCTTGAGCCAAATGCCACGTTTGTTTCACATCGCCCTCGCCACCAACCCACGCATTCAAAGACAACTTCGGTCCCATCGCGCATGCTAGCATCAAGAGTGGTCTTTTTGGCTAACCCCAAAGCCCTTTTCTCAAAGACAGTTCTTTCTGTTTGTTTTCCAGCAATTCGGTGCAGCTTTTTGGCTCTTCCTCTCTCCGGGTATTGTTATGTATTGTTGTCAGTTCGCAAGCACCAGAGGTCTTTGAGGGTGCGGCCTCTTACTGTCAGTCTCTACATCGTAAACCCAGCACATGTAAGTCTCAAGGCTTCAACAAGTCTACAAAGGGACCCTAATTTAGAGAACTAATTACCCATCTTAGGGTTTAGGGATTAGGGTTTAGGGTTTTTGGTTTAGGGTTTAGGGAGCTTAACGTCTTAACCCGAAACCCCGAAAGCCCTGTGAATCTTCCTTTCGGTAATGGTCTAAATTAGGATCCCTTTTTGGGGGTCCTTTTTATAAGCGTGCCATACTATATATTGGGGACCTACAAAGGGACCCTAATTTAGAGAACTACCCATTTTAAGGTTTAGGGTTTAGGGTTCAGGATTTAAGGTTCAGGGTTTGGGGTTTAGGGTTTAGGGTTTGGGGTTTAGGGTTCAGGGTTTAGGGTTTAGTGTTTAGGGAGCCCTCCTCAGCCACCCTTTGAGGGAGGTTTGGAGCCTAGGGAGTTGAAGATTCAAGGTCCAGGCGTCTCGTAAGCCCTACCTGTGGCGCCGAAGAAACCCTACCTTTTATAACTTGAGGGTTTTGGGTTTAGGGTTTAGGGGTTTAGAGCTTAGGGCTTTAGGGTTTAGAGTTAAGGGCCGTTTAGGGGTTTGGGGTTCCACATTATGGTTTCTATGTAAAGCTCCAGAAAACAAGGTAGGGTTTTTTGGGCCACAGGTAGGCCTACACTCAAGCATCTGAGACCCCCGACTATTTAGGGTTTAGGATTTAGGGGTTTAGAGTGAGCCACGACTTTTAGTTTCCAAGGCCGCTGTGGGGCCGCTGTGTTTGACTCATGGGCCTGTTGTTTGCATTCAGGCCTTCGGATTGAAGCTTAGAGTTTTTGGGTTTGGGGGTCTTAGGTTCTAGGGTTTAAGTCTTCGGATTGAAGTTTTGGGTCTAGGGTTTGGGGGTTTAGGGTTTAGGGCTTCGGATTGAAGTTTTGGGTCTACTGGGACGCAACCCATCTCTCTGGCTCTCCAAACCCAAAGGCTGAAACAAGCCCCAAGCCCTTGGTTAGAGGAAGCTACAGGTGGGGAGTTTAGGGTTCCTTTAACAAGGGTTTGGGGTTTAGGGTTTAGGGTTTAAGGTTTAGGGTTTAGGGTTTAGGGCTTAGGGTTTAGGGTTTAAAGGAAACTACAGGTGGGGAGTTTAGGGTATTACAGGGCTTCTATAAGGCTTCCATAAGGTATACGGACCTTCCATAAGGCTCCTATAATAACGGTTCTATATGGAATATAGACCTTCTATAAGGCTCCTATAACGGTAACTACCCTCCTGAAAATGTCCTAGACTTGGGCCGAACCCCCAAACGCTGGGCGCATCTGCCATAGGGCGGCCAGTGGGCTCGAAGAGCCTTTGGCATCCGACTTCCTGTGGCATCCATATATTCCAAGGTGTTCATCCGGCCTGCGTTCCCTGTGCCACCAGGCAATTCCCATAGGGTTTAGGGTTTAGGGTTAGGGCATATTCCGGGTGTGAGCCTGAACCCAAAGAACTAAACCCCTATTAAAGCTTGGCCCGTTAAAGCGCTGAACCCTTCACGAACCCACAAGCCTTGCTGTCCAAGGTGTTGGATGTAGGAGCAAGCAGAACTGCAAACCTGAAGCCAATCAAACCTCGAACAACGTGCAACACGCAGAAAACTCATCCCTGAGCCGTAAGAGTTGGTCGCAAAGTCGACCAACTCTTTGCTAGAAACCCTAAATCCTAAACCTTGAACCTAAACCCTAAAACCCTAAACCCTAAAACCCTAAACCCTAAACCTTTAACGCTAGCCCAACTAGGGCTGACGGGGATTGCGGAGGCTGGGGACGAGGCGGAGGAGGCCAAACACCTCCTGCGAAACTAAAACCGGGCTGCATCTTCACGGCGCTGCGCCCGAGCATTTTAAGAAGGCATGTGTCGGGTTTAGGGTGCAGGGTTTAGGGTTTGAGGTTTAGGGTGCAGGGTTTAGGGTTCAGGATGCAGGGTTTAGGGTTTAGGGTGCAGGATGTAAGGTTTAGGGTTTCATTTGGCTTCAATCTAACTTCAAAGCTTTGGTCTAACTAGAGGTAAACAGTGCTTTGAACCTGTGTTCTGGGTTTTGGGTTCTTGGGTTTAGGATTTGGGATGTAGGAGTCTGGGGCAGGCTGACCCTAAACTTAAACCCAAACTATCCTGAACCCACAAACAGCCAAGATAAATCAGCATGTAGATACACCCCTGAGCCTAGCAAACCCTTCTGATTCTCAACCCTACTTGGAGGTTCATGACAAATTTTAAGCAAGGCTTCAAGTAGGATAACTCTAAGTACTTCAAACCTACATTAGGGGACTTGTGACTGCACTTATTATTATTGCCCATGAGCCTCCATGTACAACCCTTTGGCAGTGCCACCCGGGCTCAACTCCGTGGTCAAGCCACGATGCTCACGCCAATCGGACGTCTCAAGCACTTCGAGAAACGATGTCAGGTTTGGGGGTTCCGAAAATTTGCCATTCACGCTTCACTGTTGCAGAGTGGCGGCTTAGAGTTTGGGGCTTAGGTTGCGATGTTGCACTTGGGGTCTACGAAGACATGGGGCTTTCAGCCTAGCGTTTTAGGCGTAGCACGTTGAGCTGCTGAACCCTGCACATACAACATCTCGATTCGGGGGTCGGGGTGCCACAAGAACTTCTGCCCTTTGCCAGCTAGAATCCACCAGAAAACACACAGCTAACCCTACATCTCAAACCTGCAGGCGCCAAACCCCAAACTACGAAGAACTGGCTCGTGGTGCAAATAATATCTCTGATAATCCTAAGCCCGTCACTCCAAGCTCTAACGAGTAATGCTGTTGATGATATAAATCCTGCATTACCTTTAGGACCCTAAACTATGGGAATTAAGGTATATTCCTTATCATGGGTAAGACAGGATTTATACCATCAACCGTGCTATGCACTTCACGCCAATTTGAAACACGGTGGCGCTTCAGCGTCCCCCAACTTCTTTCCATTGCCTGGTCACTTCCTCCAACTTTGCCTCCGGCTCAGGGCCGACGCTCGGGTTCAGCGTTCCAAGCTTGGGCTATACCCTAAACCCTAAACCCTAAACCCTAAACCCTAAACCCTATACTAGGAGGTTCATGGGTAGTTGTAGTCAGGGTTTTGGGTTTTGGGTTTTAGTCCTCTAATATAGGCTATAACTATAACTATAGTTATCCTGGGTTTAGGGTTTAGGGTTTAGGGTTTAGGATTTATAAACCCCATGAACCTCCAAGCAGGGTTATGAGCATAGCAGTTTATGTCGCACTTGGACCACCCCAGTGTAAACGCTGTCCGACTGCGTGTACGCATGCTGAGCTCCCTCACACATTTACAGAACTCCGGACAATTTGAGGATCCCCAAACCTTATATTTACACGGTTTAGGGTTTAGGGTTTAGGGTTTAGGGTTTAGGGTTTAGGGTTTAGGATCCCAAGTCCTAAATACTAAACCCAAGCCCCACCAACAATCACTGAACAAGACCCTTCTGAACTCTCCTAAAATTCGAACTTGCGGCACTCAATGCACCCGATCCAAACAGCCCGAATCCCAAGCCGAATAGCCGACACGTGCACACCTGCCTATCAATGTGAAAATCAACAGACCCAACAAAACTTCCCCTCAGCAGCAAGAACCCAGGCTTAGGAATCCTGGCTTACGATTTAGGGTTTTAGAGGTTGAACCCTAAACCCTAAACCCTAAACCCTAAACCCCTGGGGTTCAGGCTTTCGGGTTTAGGGTTTAGGGCTCATCCCCATAGCTGCAACCACCTCGAAGAAGGCTCGGCGCTCCGGGACCACAGCACCTGAGGGCTTTAGGGGCTTTAGGGCTTTAAGGGCTTTAGGGCTTTAGGGTTTTAAGGGCTTTAGGGCTTTAGGGTTTAGGGTTTTAGGGTTTTGGGGCTTAGGGGTTTTTTGGGCTTTAGAGGATCCAATTGCAGCAAACTAAAGCGTTGTCTTGACTCTTCACAGGATCGATATGCGGTAAATCTTCGGATTTCTCACCCCCCCTCCCACACCTCGCTAAGCTTTACAGCATCACTCCGAAACTCCAGGACCCACAAGACAAGAAATTGACCTCGAAGCCCACAATCGTGAAGTGGTACGTCTTTAACCTGAGCTCGGCCCCAAACACTACCTGAAGGATCGTGGGACTTAGTAAGTAGGGTTCTAAACTAAGGTAACTATACTTATAACCCCAATTAGGGGACTTATAACCTTACTTCCCTAGACCCTAAACCCTAAACCCTAAACCCTAAACCCTAAACCTTACTAAGTCCCATGATCCTCCAAGTAGGCGCAACCCTCATTGAGGCCGCAGGACTGATCTTGGTCGCAAAGTCTGCTCTCAGAGCAGATGCCGCAGACCGCACGGACTCCTCAAGGCCATGGCAAGGACCCACGGTTGGGGTTTAGGGTTTAGGGTTTAGGGTTTAGGGTTTAGGGTTTAGGGAGTCCAGAGAACCCAATATCCATTAATGAAGGAATATACCTTAAACTAAAGGGGTCGTAATATTATGATTTCAGGTATATTCCTTAATTAAGGGGTATTGGGTTCTCAGGGACTAGAGTTCTTGGCTTAAGTTGCTTAGCTTTACATGCTATCGCATCTGCGGGGCTTGCAGCGTTTAGGGATTGTAGGATAGGTTTTGCGGTATGTACAGGGTTTACGGCTTCTCGGTTTGGATTTGATCCCATCTGATTGCAACAGTAGCGAAGGGGTTTTTTTCAGATGCGGTCGCCGCACAGAGTCCGATCTTTGCGGACCAAGATTGTGGGCTTGGGAGGTCAGGACTGTTGGTTCAGGGTCTCGGGAATGGGACCTGGGAATGTGGGGCGGGTGTGGTGGTAATGAAATTAAATTGCAAAGCTGATGGGAATTGAGATGTATGGTTTTGAAAGTTGTCCTTCCTCTTGAAGGCTTAAGGAATCTGCATGTACAGATGCCTCGTGCCCTTGTTTCGAACCTGCCTTCCACATGGAGGGAAGTCACAGGACCCTGACCTTCAAAACCCTTGAATCAAAGAGTACACCCAGAAGTCAAAGTGAATTGGGGTGGGGGTCACGGAAAGAATCACGCCAGCGTTCCCGTTCTATCTATCGGATCGGTTTGGGAAAGTCCCAGAATGACTTTCCAGGAAATAGCTTGGCACATCTACCTGTTCTCCCATACTGTTAGTGATAAACATCCTGCATTACCTTAAGGACCCTAAACTATGGGAACTATGTATATTCCTTATTTTGGGTAGCGCAGGATTCATATCATCAACCGTATGATCTAATTAGCGAGTTCGAAGTTGTTGCCCTTGACCCTGCGGCAGCTTGGAGCTTAGCTTTCAAGGGTGATACAGGGGCCTTAATAATCAGAACAGGGTTTTGGGGTAGATTATACTATAGCTATAATAAGGAACCCCCACCCTAAACCCTAAACCCTACACCCTAAACCCTAAACGAACCCCCAAAATAGCATATAGGTAACTATCAGAGGCCCCTATATGAATTCACCCAAGGCTGATCCCGAAACTCAGGACCACTGCTCTTGAACCCTGTTTGCGAAAACAACAATAATAGGGTTTAGGGTTTAGGGTTTAGGGGTTTAGGGTTCAGGGTTTAGGGTTTAGGGTTTAGGGTTTAGGGTTTAGGGTTTAGGGTTTAGGGTTTAGGGTTTAGGTTTAGGGCAAGCCCCTCGAAAATCAACGCTCTGCACCCCATGAGCGCCTCCATCCTAGCTTTCTCCTCCTCAGCTGGTTCACACTGGGTGCTGTGGGATTTAGGGGTTGGGTGCCGCTTTTGCTTCGGCTTAGGGCTTTTAGGGTTTAGGGTTTAGGGGCTAGGGGTTAGGGGTCAGGGCTTCGATGTGTGGGGTGCTTCCATCAGCGGGGTTTTCGTGGGACAATGGATGCTACTCAAACCCTGAACCCTAAACCCTAAACCCCTAAACCCCTAAACCCCTAAACCCCTAAACCCTAAACCCTAAACATAAAAAGATAGTCAAGAAAAAACGGCTTCAGAGGGAAGCTCGGTCATAGGACCTGCAGCAGGTCTCAGGGTTTAGGGTTTAGGGTTTAGGGTTTAAGGTTTAGGGTTTAGGGTTTAGGGTTTAGGGAGGTTAGGCTCAGGATTGCGGGCTTTGGGCTTGAAGGGGTGTAGAACCCAAGATGGCGACCCTTGCTGCACCCCAAAAGTCGGAATTCACTAAACCCAAGATCCCGTAACTAAGGAATAGACGTTAAGTCAAATTAGGGATCCCATTAGGGATCCCATCATCATTTAAGGTATACTCCTTTATTTAAGGGCTTTTGGAAGGTCTGGGAACCCTAGCGGCGCAAAACGACCTGCGGAGGTTGGGCCAAAAGCGGGGCCTTGCTTACGGCTTAGGGTTCGGGTTTAGGGTTTTTGGGGTTTAGGATCTTTTTTCAGGGCTTAGGGCTGAGATGGCTTTGGGGCTCAAGGACCTCAAACAACCTGACGTGACCCGGACCACAACAAACACCGAAATCCAATCCAAAGCCCAGACCTAAATCCTAAACCCGAGTCATTCGAATCCCGCATTCCTGCAGCCTTGAAGTGTTCACGGCTCAGCAACAGAGCCGTTTCGGCACCCTCCTAAGCCAAACCTCAAACCCAAATACTCAAAAACCCAAAGCCTTAAACTGAAGCGAATCAAGCCCCGAGCTTAGAACGATGGGGTTTAGGTTTAAGGGAAGAGACTAGGGTTTAGGGTCTAGGGTTTAGGGTCTAGGGTTTAGGATTTAGGATTTCGGGTTTAGGGTTTCGGGCTTGTGAGAAGAAAGAACCTTTCGGATGGCCAAAGAAGAGTGACTCAGCTGTGAAGTGCAGTTGGGGTCGTAAAGCAAAGCGGCAGCCGACATAACCTATGTGATTTGCAAAAAGAGGATCTCAACAGGAACATGCTGTCCGTAGACTACTGCATGCTCGCACCTCAGAAAGAAGTCACACTAAAGTACAAATTTAACCGCATAGCATGAACAATTGTCAAGCCAATGTATACTTGCAAGTTGCCTGCAACACAGATTTGTGGCTTCTGTCGGCAGGAGGGATTGGATGTGAAGCTATCTTTTTTGTCAATGCATTTGCTGACATGTAAAAATTCCACATTCGCAGCTAATTCTGTCCTCCACCGCAGAGCTCGAACCCTGCATCATGCAGAAAGGTCGATTTTCCATACTGACATAACCCGATAACAACTTTTGTTTGCAAGCCGTTCGGGTAGGTATGCACCTAGCACGTTGAGCACAGGGATCTCCTGGTAACTCAATCCTTTTCAGCTTGTGTGTTCACCTTCCCTCATACCCACACAACTTGAAGCCTAAACCCTAGCTACTGGAAGGCCCCTTGGAAGGAACCCTTTCAAGGATACCCTCTATAGAAACCCTTTTATTGAACAAATAGACCCTAAACCCGAAACCCGAAACCCTAAACCCGAAACCCCAGACCCTAAACCCGAAACCCGAAACCCTAAACCCCCAGAGCTTGAGAAAAAGGGCCCCAAAGAACTGAGCCGATACCTGAAACAGCCGAGACTCCGCACTCACCTTGGGCTCAGCCTGGGACGCAACTCTTAGGGAAGTCTCCATGGTAGGCCAGCCTGGGGGTTTTGGGTTTAGGGTTTA